GTTTAGATGCCAGGAAGAACTTTTAGGCATTTGCCTGTATATTTTAAGATTTGGAGGTAAGGGGTTTCATTCAGCATGCATTTACTAAACACTGCTTGGTAACATGGGAGACACTAAAGCTATAATGGTGAGTAAAACAGAGTATTGACAAGTGTCCACGCTTGTGGAGATTAGTAGCTAATAACGAATACAGGTGGGAAAATAAGACAACCCTATGAAATTAGGCACAATAGCCCCATCTCACCAGCAGTTTCCCTGCCCCAGCTACTCTCCTAATTCTCCTAATCTCTGAATCTCCACTCCCTGAATCCTCCCTCATTGTGCCAGCATTGCAGCTCCAGCAGGTGGATAACTGGGAGGACTACCAGTGCCCTGGAACCTCAGAGAAGAACCAAGGGAAAGGAAGCTACCAGAGGAAATGTGTGTCTCATTCCTGAATATATGAAGATCATTGAGCACTTGCCTCCTCATCTCACTTGGAGGATCCTCCTTCTCCTGGGGTGGGGGAGTGCTGATGGGAGACAACAGATGCTAAGTCCTCCATGATTACACAGAACTCAAGACCTGGAGTGATACATAAGGGCTGGACTTCCTGATCATACTTACATAGCTCTGGAAGCTCATTCCTGACTCTTGTTCTCTCAGTCTATTTAGAGCGAGAATGGATATTCCTGTCCAGTGGAAACATGATTTAGGGCATTTCCAACTGACTTAAGAGATTAGAAAGGGAAACCCAGAGGACCTGAAATGGAAGCAGTGGCAGATGCTGAGAATCAGCCTTTTGACCCAAGAAGGGTCAATTTCTGGTCTAGAACAAGATGTAATGGGCCAAAATGTAAAGTTGGGATGTTAAACCTTTGTAAAGACTTACTGGCACTGGACTGAGAAACCAAAGGAAGCTCAGGGGAGAAAAGAAGACATTGCAGTTGATCTGATGTGTTGAATATTATTTCTGAAGCTTTGGGCAATGGGCGTAAACAACATGGAGGTAGTTTTTCCCTTCCTTAAAAACTGAGGCAGTAACGGTGATAAGTTGGAGGAAACACCTGAGGAAACTTGTTCTCAGGATTAAAGGGACTGGGGAGTCAGATATACAAGAGTCAGCACTTGAGTTGATCCATTCTTCTGAGTGTATTGTTTCTGGCAGGAATGGTTTAAGAAGCCTAGATCTGGATTCTGGCTTACCTCATGAAATACATTTAGCCCCTGCTCCCTATCTGGACCCTGGTTACCCACTCTTGAGACATCTGGTTGGGGGTGGGGGTTGTACCAAGGCTTCACCTGGCCACCACACAAAACAGGGCAGAAATGGGGCAAGGCGACCTGAGAAGAGCAGGTGTGATGAGGTTTGGCTTCTATGAAGAGCATCAAAGTTCTGAAAAATTTGGAGCCCTACATGCTGGGGGAATGGAAGGCTGCAGGTGGGAGGGGATATCCCTAATAACTGTCTGTGCAGGTTATCTATAGACCGGGGCCTATGTATTAGGACAAATGGACTAAGGAATGGATGCATATCAGAAAGCCCTGATAGAAACATCATCCTATAGGGAAAGAGAGGAGGCGCTGTTCTGAGTACCAGTGACACAGTAGTCAACAAGACAACACGAGAGAAGGGTAAAGAACTGGAAAACTCAGGCTGAGTCGTTCAAGTTGCCAGTGCCACCCAGGGCTGCTGACGCCCTTCACAAACACCCTTTGCTGATGCTGTGCCCCCTTCTCTCTTATCAGCGGACCCTGCGGTGCAGACAGATGGCAGCCCCCTCTGCTGCCATTTCCACTTCAGCCCCAAGGTGATGTTCACAAAGGTACTGAAGGCCCAGCTGTGGGTGTATCTACGGCCGGTGCCCCGCCCAGCCACAGTCTACCTGCAGATCTTGCGACTGAAACCCCTAACTGGGGAAGGGACTGCAGGGGGAGGGGGCGGAGGACGGCGTCACATCCGAATCCGCTCACTCAAGATTGAGCTGCACTCACGCTCAGGCCACTGGCAGAGCATCGACTTCAAGCAAGTGCTACACAGCTGGTTCCGACAGCCACAGAGCAACTGGGGCATCGAGATCAACGCCTTTGATCCCAGTGGCACAGACCTGGCTGTTACCTCCCTGGGGCCGGGAGCTGAGGGGCTGGTGAGCAGGGAGCCTGAGATGGTGCCAGATATGTATAACCTGGCCCTGAGGAGGTGGGATGTTGGAAAAGGTAGACCAGGAATGAGAAGGGGCTGGGCACCAGCGTTATTTCTTTGGGGCCAGGAGCTGATTCTAGAGGAGCAGTTTTGGGGGTGCAGATAGGGTGGGGAGTGGCAGCTATCACTTTTCAGATACAAGCCAGGCAACAGGTGGAAACTGGATTTGGGGTCGTGTTAATGGGAGATCCAAGAAAACACAAAAATGGTCTGTTGATGAAGCCTGGGGCCAAGGGGGCGATCAGGGTGAGGTTGCCAGGAGAATATTAGGGGTGAGTTGAAGGAGACATAGCTAGCTTGTGAGAAAAGTGAGTAGAAGATAGGGCTGGAAATAGGAGCAGGGGAAAAGCTGAGAAGGCGACTGTCTCTGTTCTGATGCCCCTGTTCAGGGGCAGATGAGAAAGGAAAGGGAGTAGGTGCTCTTCGAGTCTCTTATCACATCTCTTTCTCCTCTCCCTCACCCCCAGCATCCTTTCATGGAGCTTCGGGTCCTAGAGAACACAAAACGGTCCCGGCGGAACCTGGGCCTGGACTGCGATGAGCACTCGAGTGAGTCCCGCTGCTGCCGATATCCCCTCACAGTGGACTTTGAGGCTTTTGGCTGGGACTGGATCATCGCGCCTAAACGATACAAGGCCAACTACTGCTCTGGCCAGTGCGAGTACATGTTCATGCAAAAGTATCCGCACACCCACTTGGTGCAACAGGCTAATCCAAGAGGCTCTGCTGGGCCCTGCTGTACTCCCACCAAGATGTCCCCAATCAACATGCTCTACTTCAATGACAAGCAGCAGATTATCTACGGCAAGATCCCTGGCATGGTGGTGGATCGCTGTGGCTGCTCCTAAGGTGGGGAACAGAGGATGCCTCCCCCATAGACCCTACCCCCAGACCCCCAGCCCTGACCCCCCAACCCCCAGACCCTAGAGCTCCCTCCACCTCTTTCCATGAACATCACACCTTGTTCCCTGCCCAAGCAGTGTGCAATACAACAGAGGGAGGCAGGTGGGGACTGACGGGTGAGGGGTTTGGGGAACAGGGGGAAGAGGGGGCATGGTCAGGTGGGGAGTGTTTGAGGTTTGCAGGTGAGAAGGTTTGGCAAGAAGACAGAGAGACGTAGAGACAGAGGTAGAGCAGAGGGATAGAGACAGAGGAACAAAAAGAGCAGCAATGAGAAGGCAAAGGGAGAGAGAGGCAGAAGAGACAAGAGATCAGGCAGAGGTAAATGATGAGAAAGAGGCTGAAATGGAGTAATAAGAGAAAGCCCCACACCCAGCCTCCTTTCTTCCACTGGCAAAGTGAGGGGCTTGGTATAGTTTGGGGAGATCCCCTGACTACCATTCTCATTAGGAGGAAATCAAAAATCCATTCTTAGCTTCTTCCCTTTCTCCCTCCAACAGTGGCCAGGGAAGGGAAGTGAGGGCAGGGGCAAAAGTAAGGATTTGGGAATTTTATTTATTTATTTATTGTGACTTTTCATTTTTTGGTATTTGGCTTTACTGAAATAGAAGGGCCCCTGCCCACTGTGCCCCATTTCTCCCTTATTCCCCAAAGCCCTGTTCTCCCTCAATGCCCACCTACTTAAGCACTTGTATAAAGCCTCCAGGGTTGGGAATGGGAGCAGAGGGCAAGAGGGCTAATACATGAAATTTTCCAACCCATAATTACCCAACTTGACCTTCCTGAGCCAAATGGGTTGAACTAAATTCCAGCAGTCACAGAAACAGTATGAGGTTAGGGTTTAGGAGCTGGGGGTGGGGGGGAAGGGGAGGGGAGAGCCCTCAACATCCAGGATCTATGAGAGCCACTAAACTTACCCTCAGATCCAACCTCATAGTCCTGAGTTATTTAGCCAGAGGGTGTGGCCCACATATGCCCGAATTCCCCCCAGCCAAGAGAGACCAAAGAGCCTGTGGAATACCCCTACTCCCAGCCTCTATCTTCAGGTCAATAGAGTATAGAGATCCCAGAGTCCCAGGTCTGGGAAGGGTTAGGAGGGGTCAAGAAAGGAGTAGTAAGGAGATTAAAGGTTACAGGGCATTTGAATCCAAATCACTGCTCTGGGCTAGGGAATAGAGCCAGCAGACCAAGATGGAAGGGATTCCAGAGGGGGGACATTTTAGTTCCCCCAACCCCAAAGCTCAGGGTGGAAGCGGGGAGAGCAAGGGAGCAGAGTGTCTATAATTATTTTTATCTTTTATTTTTGGAATCTAGCAGTACCTGGCAGCAGGGAGGGAACAATACAGTGGGGAAGGGAAAAGCATCTGACAAGGCCAGTTAGAGCAGAGGACTGGAAGGATGGAGACTCCCTGGTTTGGAAGGCTAGGAAGCAGGCAAGGACTGGTCACCACTCCCAGTCACTAGCTAGGCCTATTCATCCCCCCCACAATCCTGACCCACCATCCTCTGGACTCACTGTGCCTCAGTTTCTTCCCCTCGATGGAATGAGAAATAGCAGCACCCGCCACAGCCAAGAGATGAATTCTGAGCACTTACCACGGGCACTTTATGGACATAAAATACCTCTCGCTGTGGGACAGATAACCAGGGCACCAGAGCAGTGGTGAAGAGATGTGAGGCTTATAAGAGTCACAGGCTTCAGAGTACAAGTTCCCCTCTGCCTCCCAGATGGACAGTGCCTGAAGCTAAGGAGTTGAGATATCTCCTGATCCACACCCTACCCATACCTCACCACCAGACCTCTTGGCTCTGGGCAAGAGCCTAGAGGATGTCAAGAGAGGAGGTCCGGAACCTTCAGCAAAACTGCCACTCTTAAGTAGAGCCTGCAGTTATGGGTCTGATGCAAACAGTACTAAAGCCTGACCTGGAAGGCTTGTTCTTCCCAAGAGTATGACTCTCCTGTCTGGCCCAGATGGTGGAAGGGGCAAAGGTATGTGACCACCCTTGGGAAGGTGATGTTGGTGAGCTTTAGTATCTTATTCCCATTCCCATTGTGAAAAACTAAGATGAGGTATTTTGGTACAGGAATGGGCAGGGGCTGTTAAGCGTTTCAACTTGCCTCCCATGTAACAGCTAATGCTAGCCCCCAGCCCCTCCTCTCTGGCCCTGTTCTTCCATCCCTCCTTCTACCCCAACCTTGGAGAACAAGATACACCTGACCATCAACAAACACCATTCACATTCCCTTGGTTGAAGGAGAGGAACAGAGAACAGAAGATGCCTCCTCCAAGATCAAATGCTCATGTCTCTTGATCTTGGCACAGGGTGGGGGTTGGACAATAAACATCAGGTGACTTCTCTCTACAAATTCTAGAGAGCTGGAGCATTAGACTTGGGGGACACCTACAATATCCCCCTTTAACACCACCAAATAAAGACCTTTGTCGGGGTGGGGGAGGGTCTTTTTCTTCTGAACATAAATTATGAGTCAAAGTCTCATTCCATTGTCCTCCTCACCCCCAAGAGGCATGGGGTAAAGAGGCTTGGGTGCACAGTTCAGCAACCTAGTGGGAACTAGCAACCCCTCTCCCACTTTATGATGTGTGTGGACCTGGCCAGTGCCCCTCTGATCATTAGTAGTGTAATTATTATTTACTTTGTGTATTTGTTACACCATGTGTGTGATTGCCTTTGTTTGTTAAGGGTGACTGAGGAGTATGGGGGTGACAGGGGCATTGGAATGCCGGGAAAGGACTTCTTCACTGAGATCAAGGCTTCCTGGAGGGAACCATTGCAAAAAGGCCATCAGGCAGTTTTCAAGTTATGTGACAGAGGGCAAAGATGGCCATAGGGTGCTCTGAGTTTTGGGATGGTCACATGACACAATCCAGCACTTGAACCTGAAAAAAATAAATAAATAAAAGCAAAGAGTTTAGAATTCAGTGATGAAATCTTCTCCCTAACCAAGCGCTACATTTATACCTTGGAGACCAGGAACAAATGAGGATCTGAGAGGGGATGAAACCCTTTTGTTCAAAGAATAAGAACACGGGGTTCTGGAGCAAGAAAAAAACACTAAGTGTATTTGGGATGAGGGTGGGAACATACAGTCCAAGGGAGGAAGGGCAGACAATGGGAAAGGGAGGGGACCTAGAACAACTCTTCTCAGGAAAACTTGATCCAAAACAGTCTCAAAGATTACCAAAACCCTCTCCCAGCCTCCACATAACAGAATCTAAAAGTTCTCTTAAGATGATCTAGCTAATGTCAGTCCCATTCTTACAGAGTTCCCTTAACTAAGTTTCACCAAAATCCACAAACCAAACCAACATAGCCAATCAAATTGTAAATGTACCAACATGGTTAAGCATCTCAAATGGTCTGATTTCCCCATAAAAATGTCTTCTGTGTAAAACAAAAGAATCTTGCCTAACTCACATTTGGGGGGGGGGGGGGGAAAGCTTCTGTCACAGTGACCTGATCCACGATGGGGGCCAGGGTCACTGTGGGATCAGTGTGCCACCATATTTTCCCTGCCCTGTCAGTTCTGTCAGTAGACGGACACCACCTCAGGCCAACTACAAGAGTGAGGTTGAGAGATGATCAACGTGCTACATACGGTATCTTCCCAAGGAATTGTCTTATCTACACCTACTCTTAGCTTTTCGCTTGAGCTAAAAATAGGTTTTCTCCCTCACTGCTCATTGTTTCCTATGTTGAAAGGACACCCAGAAGAGATTGCCAGATGACTTTTATCCCTAAACAACCTCCAACTCAATGCACAAGTAGCTAGCTATCCTATACTGTTCCTTGGCCTCTTTTCTGGGTAGCAGAGCCCCAAGCTAAGAACCAGCAGGCAGTAGCATTTACAACTTCTCATCTGTAGTGAGGCAGAAGCCCCAGGCTACAAGGTCAGCTTTCCTGCCTGTGAGGTGGGGGTAAAGGAGCAACTGGGGCTCTCACCTCTTCCCACTCTCAGAAGCCCTAAATTCACCTATACATGCAGTCCCCTCCTCCCCCATGTTCAAATGAGTCCTCTCAGCACCCTCTCTACCCTCTAGCTAGAACCTACTCAGGGAAAAGAAATATTTCCCCTGCAAATCACCTAATAAAATTAAGAGCTTACTGAATGATTACTATGAAAACTATAGTAAGCACATTGTACTGAGTATGTAATCTATTATCTGTCCTCAGAGCAGCCTTCACAATAGGGTCACTTGCTATTGGTACAGTATGGAGAGTCATGGAATGAGGTGCCCAGTCTCAGAGCCAGCAGAGCTAGTACTGGAGAACAAATTACACCTAAATACTATATAATATTCCACTCTAATCTACTCTATTAATAGTAATCTGAGAAGTCAAAAAACTAAAGGCAGGGAGAGCAAGGGACAAGAAAAATAAAGAGAAAGCTGGGATCTACCTTGGGCACAAAGGGTCTGCAAAGGTATGAAACCTGTTATTATTTTTCAGTTCCTTTGAAAGGAAAAACAAGAATGTGGACATGGAACACGAAGGAGAGGTTAGAGTTTAGTGGATTTCAATAATCAGAGGGAACAACATTGTCAGAGGCCCACATGGAAGAAAATAGAGAAAAAGCTATTCTCCCTTATTTACAGAAGTTCCTTCCTTTCCCCTCATCTGTTTCTCATGTCAGACATGGCAATGGAACTCAACCCCAAGAAGTCCTGCTCTTATTCACATCTTCCTTCCTATAGCTCTCACCCCTGCAGAAGCTTCTAGTGTTGTAATTCAGAAGTTCCCAGGAGTTGGGGTGGGGGAAAGGGGCAGTTTAGAGTGATGGTGGAGAAAAAGGAAAAGATCCCATGGTTCTTAAGAGAACCATAAAAAGGTGCAGATTTACCACTGAGGAAACTTGTTCCCTCCACATCTTTTATAGACTCCCTCATTAAGAGCTCCCAGGTATGCAGAGAATGTCACAGCTTCAGGATAAGGAAAAGACTAGAGTCAGCTAACTGCATATGAATCCTCGATCAGCCATACCAGGGCTACTGGGGGATAGGAAGGAAGAGTACTTGGATCCCAGATAAAGAACTGCAAGCCTAGACTTCCTATTTTAAGACTGAATTAGTAAAAAGACATAGGCATCCTGAACTTTCATACTCAGAAAGTATGCATGGAATGACTACCATGAGACAGGAAGAGGAGGATATGGTGATCAGGCTTGCAGGGGAGAGACTTCTGACAGAAAAACAGCTGCTGGAATGGGATGAAAAAAGTTATTTAAAAATCCACAGAAACTGAGAAAAAACACAGTACCAAAGATCTGGGGAAGTGAGCTGAGTGGGGAAAAGAATGATTAAGCTTCAGAAAGAGAATCAGAAGATAGAGACAAAGTACAGAAAATTTCTGAAGAACCCAGTGCTCTATTCCTTTACCTATTTCTTATTTTCCCATTCTTGGGTAGAAAACCCTTACTGAATCTATAATCTCTCTTAAGCTATAAACAACTAATTTTCCGTGGCTCTGTTTTCAGACAGAAACAGAATAGAAAAGTCAGCCTCAAGATCAGGGTCTGGAGAAAAAAAAAAGGCAGGAAAAAGAAGAGGCCAGAGGGAAGGGAGGGAAGGAACTGTTTAATCAGTGCTCCCTTTTGTTCACCTCTCCAAAGTCAAATTGGGGCAAAATTCACAATAAATGGGCAAACTTTGCTTCTGCTCTCCAAGGCAGTTTTCCTAAAGCATCAAAACTTGGGTTCCTGCCCTACTCAGCAATCGAAGAGACTCTACTGAAAAGAGATTCTTGTTAGGAAGGGATCAAACTATTACTTTTCTATTAATAAAAAACCAGACAGGTTGTAGTAGAAATGGAAATAAGGAATTAAATTGCAACACAGGATCTGATCCCTATAAAGTTTTCAGGTAAGGTGCCAGGCTCTTAAGTTTTATTCTCAAAACAAATAAAAACTAACTTTATAGAGATGTGCAGAAACAAAGATTAGGAGGAGAAACCGTACACCAAAATACCCAAAAAGAAAAGTAGCATGTCTCAGATCTTGGTGAAACATCAAATGCAAACGAGCAGCCTGCCTGGAGAAAATCAAACCTTTCTAAGTAGAAGGCTCAGCAAGGAAAATGGATTTTAGTAATATTTAAGAAACGCTGCCACCACAACAGTATACTTCTGTAATTGAGGAAGACAAACTAGCACAGGACTTGATTAGAAAGTAGAAACCTCCAGGGGCACCTGGTTCAGTCGGAATAGCACGCAGCTTTTAATCTCTTGATCTTGGGGTCGTGAGTTTGAGTCCCACACTGGGTGTAGAGATTATAAACACACACACACACACACACACACACACACACACACACACACACAGAGGCCTCCAGTCCACTGCTCATGTTCCCGGGATCTAGACAACAATGCTTAACACCTCTAACATCCTGTCATGCTCTGAATCCTTCCACTTTCTTCTAGCTCTGAGGAGTACCCAACCCATTTCCTTTCCTGAAATGCATAACCAACAGGGTCCTACATATTGGCCTTGGCTGAAACTAGACAGTGTCTCATTAGGTCATTCTTGAAAACAGAGTCCTTCTAGACTCCAGTCCATAACAGACTACCAATCATCAGTCCTTATATTTATATTCTCTATACCTAAAACTCAGTGTTCCCCCTATTGTACCCCAATGGGTCATGCCAACCTGCTGAAGCAAAGGTGCAGGGTGAAACGTGGCCTCTTCATGAAGGATAAAGAGTAAAAGGATGCCGGTGAGTATGAGAGAAGGGAATAAATAGGCTTAAAGGAATAGACTCAAATCCTTTTCCTTCTTCTCTTTTCTAAAGGATAAAGGCAGTATGGCTAATTCCCTGTAGTAATTGTCCCTGAAGCTCCCCTTATCTGGTCTAGTCTGGCTCTAAAAACTCAAAGAAGCACCTAATAAAACACAGTTTTCTTTTCTATTTGTTTTTTATTAACAAGCAAAATAATAATTAAAAAACAACACCACAAGAACAACAACCTTAAAGTTGGAACAGCAATGAGTCAAACTGCTGCTGAAGTTCCTGGATGTACCCGGGGTACATGCTATCTCTTGTAAGGCAGGGCCTAGGCACATGACTGTGCATTTATGTATATATATGACCAAGAAAAGTCAGAGAGATGGAAACCACTGGAGAACAGAAAGCATTTAGAGCTTTTCATCAGGCAATCCCAAAGCGCTCTGCCCTTTTCCTCTTCTTTGCCTGTGAAAAAGAAGCAAGAAGAAAAAAATTAGATTGCAAGACAACAGTGGCATGGGTTCCTGGCGGCTTTAATCCAAACTCACATGAACTATCACAAGGTCCAAGAAGGAGGGAAGACCCAGGCTTAAGCTTGGCAGTCAGAGATTTCATTCTTGAATCTCTCTAGTTATCCAGTTAGACCTGGGGAAGTTTGGTGGGAACGAAGGGGAGAAGACTGTGGGGAGTAGGGGTGGGGGAAGAGGAGGAAGAGAACAGTAGTAGATTCCTGAAGGAGAGAAGGCAACTCAGCCTTATAGCAAGTTAGTCTGGAAACAATGGACTCTTAAAAGATTGGTGAATCTTCCAGTCAGCGGGGAGATGGGAGATCTCAGAGGTCAAAGGGCTGGTGACTGCTATCTTTTCATAGAGGTGAAGGGGATGCCCTTCTAGGCAGTAAGGCCCAAGCAGGAGCTATTCCTTGGGCCTCCAAATCCACAGAGAGGTATATAAATCTTCAGTGCCAAAAAAATAAATGGGAAGGAGGGGAGTCCCTAACATGGATCTCTTCATGGGAGTCAGCACTGGAGAGAAGCACAAACTGAGAAGTAGGGGAGGAGAGAAAGAACTTTTTGTTCCCGGGAGTGACTGAAAACAGCAGTAAGTCCCTCAGGCTGATTCAAACCACTGCCCCCAGCAAAGACGGAACTTTTTTTTCTCTAAGAGAGAGAGGTGGGGGGAGGGGCAGAGAGAAAAATA